TGCCAGACACTCACATGGACACATCCAGGAGTGATGAAATGAAATCACTTGCCCCTCAACAGCAACAGCTGATAAATCATATTGAAGAGACTTTCTGGATCCATAATGTTCATTGTCTCTGAGAGAGAGAGAGAGCAGGCAGAGAGCGCTGATGAGAAAGGCAGGAGTCAGGGGAGGAAATACCCAGTGGGTGTGTGTGAGAGGGAGAGAGCAAAGGGGAAAAGAGAACCCAGGAGGTATAAACTCAAGTTACAGGAATTCCGCTGGCCTTGTATCAGCGTCAGTGTTGGGTTAGGTTTCCTAACAAACATTCTCTTCTAGCGAGCTTCAGAGAGGGGAGCCATACCGTTGATCACAAAGCTGAACCCAGCATGTGTTTTAAGTGCAAGTATGCCTCTGCAAAAACGTCATTACAGAGCAGTAACATTTTACAAAGAAAAATTGAAATGTGGAAATGTGTGGCATACTACAATAAACTTCCCAGACCTCCCACTGCAACTGAACAACACACTGTCTTCCTAGACAAAAATGGCCCCTGAGGAGATACAACAGCATTGGTAGGCCGTCAAACTGATTAGTTCAACTTCACCTCATCCTAACACGATGCATTGTGGGTGTTCATTGCCCAGCAACCACTTTCTGTCCTCTCTCAGTTTGCCTTAGTAACACCCCCACCTCTACTTTATAAAGACTATTTGTGTGACTGTGTGTTGCTGGGATGCACAAATTAAGCCTGTTGTCATGGTGACAACATTTTAATCTAACTCAAAGTGTGACACTTTGTAGGATTATCATGTCATTACGTGTCTCTTAGATGGGGCATCTTGTGTATTATATGTCAGAGGGGTGACATCACAGCAAGCAGAGGGCAGTCCTTTGATGTAATCCAATTTTCCATTTCCACTTCACATAGAGCACACACAATGTGACTGCTAGATCTTAAGAAGATTAACAAATATTTCTTCTGTTTAAATAGGCAAACACATTTACTCATGTGTGCCATACCATGTATATTCTTGTGAATATGTGGCTGACTCGCTTTACTACCCAAGGAGCGTACGGTAATCTTTCAACTGAAATCCTGCAGAAATCATTTTTTGTTAGAATCGATGCATTTCTGAATTATTCTTCTTAGATTTTGTTTTAGTAAATGTCTAATTGTGTGTGTGTGGTTAAACTTTGTGGGTGAACAAATGGTCTATGTATCTCAGAGAACTAGGAAAATACTAAGACCAAAGCAAACAAACTTGATATTCACTCCATGACTTATAAAGGGGAAAAACATCTTTTTGTTAGAGTTGATTAAGTTTAAAATTGTGAGATATTTTCACGGTCAATCCTGTCACAATAGCCTTTTTCAAACTGTACGACCTTAACCAATTTCCTGAGATTTTAAAATGATGTCTTGAGTCCACAAACTCAATCAAGCAATACGCATGTAAGGCGCCTTAACACTTGTAGCCAGAATCATCTAATGCTATCAATCTGCTAAATCAAAAGTGTGGTTACACTTTTAAAAATTGGCTGCAGGAAAAAACTCACTGCAATAATGTTATATTTGCAACAGGTAAAGTTTCATTTTTGCACTTAGGGAGGGATCAGTATTGAATGAAAAAACCTTTTGGGTAACAAAAAAACATATTCCAGGGACCGTTACAGGTTTTAATTAGAATGGCAACCAAACCTAGTCAAAGGACAAAATATCCATAATTGAATTGAACTATTTCTATCTCCAGCCATCTTGCATACAAGTTATCTTTTAAATATCTTACTTCCCAGGAAAAATATTCTCTCGTTTGTCCATCTCTCTAAAACAATGTTTTTATACACAAACTGACATCAGCAATCTACAGAAAGGCAGGATACTGGCCTAACCATTAGGAGAAATTTTGAATTCAGTACGTTGCAATTAACATGAGGACAGGATAAGGTAGGGTTCGAACCCACCAACCCTTTAGTCTGTAGGTTACCTACTGTGGTTTGGTTGTTGAAGCAGCAAGCCGTGAGCATTAACTATCATCACCACCAATCTCCTGGGAGAGGAAAAATTCCTCTGCAGGCTTACACAACACTACAGAGGGGACAGACCCCAGCTCCTGGAAAAACTCTCAATAATTCACTCTACATACTAGGAATGAGGGCCCAGCACACCATTCTGAGCTCAATGAAGCAGCCAAGACAAAAGCAGAAATGATGAATTGTGTCTTCTGGAAAAGATTTGCATTGAACACATGACTTCAAAGATGTATTGTACATGTACAATGTGTTCTGGGTTTGCATGAGAGAAAATAGAATATATACTAAAGACAGAAAACAATACAGAGTAATAATATAAGAGTACTTGAATATACCAGCAAGTTTAGACTGCAAAGCTGATTAAGTAGAATGACAGGATAGCAAATGGGAACAATTTCAGGAGATCCTTTGCTGCATGAAACAAACTACGGTCTCTGTTGTCCCGATCAGACAGCAACCCGCTCAGACAGCCCATAAAACAAGACAACAGAAAGGTCAGAGGTGGCTGTAACCTGGCTGGACAATGTGAGTCAAAATAGTAACACAATATTTTCTTACTGCCATAGAGGAATTATGAACCCTCAAGATAAAACAACCAGTTAAGTAATTCAAAGTTTATCAAATGAAAAGCTGAGTCTAGATAAACCTTGTCTGACCATTTTTATGTGTTTATAGTTTAGTTATACTGGTTATCCAAGGTGATTGTTTGCTTTTGGAGTAATATAGTAAAATGTTTTAATGCTACTCAAGCACCTGAAAGGCAACTGGTAAACATTATGTTGGTGCCCAGAAGTGAAACAACACAAACTAAGAAATCACAATTTATGTAGTTAATTCATAACGGATAAGCAAACTAAGTGTTATAGAAGAAAGAAAGAAAGAAAAATTGGGAGTTTCCATTTGACATATCCGACTCATTCAACTCCCCAAATGACCAAACTGGTTTTTCAAATTTGGTATATGAGAAACCATTTGAACACATGATGGATGTGGAGTAAGTCGACAGAAAATGACTGCTTGCTCCCTGATCATAGGCAAAGAGGAATAGCCTTCTCTTGTGTCATTCCCTCCCCCCCCCCAGGGCTGAAGCACAGTGAGTAAGTGAGGCATTACTGGGAAATGAAGTCCTTACTGGAAAACTGAACCCACCTATTTACTGGCAATGGAAAGGGGGTGTGTATAGGGGGGCATAGTAAAAAATAATTGGAAATCTAAACTAGCCACTTGCCTTTTGTGACTAGTGACTTAATCAATAGGACAGCAATATTCAGATATTAAGAGAAAAGCCTGTATAAGCCACTGCCATGTAAACACCATTTTGTTGTTACCTTAGCCCGACAAAAGGTCATATGTGGAGTGAGCCATAATCAAATCAAGACAAGTGGAGTATGCTGATCTTAGTTGCCTTATCGTAGAAGAAAATGTACTTTTCAGGGGAAGGGAGAAGTAGTTGTCATGTAAATGGTTTTAAGTTGTTTTGCAACAGAGCAACATTGATCAATGATTCGTTAAGGGCAGCATGTGATCCACAGACCGATGGAAATGTTATCATCATGATGTAAAATAAATGTACTGCCTCTAAAAATCTGTACAAAATCTCAGTGAAAAGAAGGTCATTTTTTTAAGTATACCCCGTAGAGTTCATGCAGATATCAGCTGGTGGTTGTGTGTGACAACAATCAGGAGCTTAAAGGTAAGAGTCAGTATTTTCTTTGTTGCAGCTTGAAGACACAACGTTCAAACTGGGCCCCTCCTCCAGGGTTCATCATCATCACCACCATCATATTCAACCATCTGAATTGCATCCGATCACTGAATTGTATACACCCCTAAACTCACCTGCGCACGGTCATTGGCAGGGGGAAATACACCGGCCCTAACACAGAAGTTTTTTAGGGTTTGTGTTTATGATTTGACTATTGTGCAAATGCACTAGGAAAGACAGGATAGCTGTCAAGTGGCGGTAACTTGCGAATAAATGTGGCTGCGAGGCCAAGGAAGAAGAAGCTGTAGAGCTAGCAAGTATGGGCATGGACATTGTAAAACAACAAAAGGCTACCTAATTCTGTGACTGCACATAAGATTACAGCAATGTTGTCCTTCAACATTTGCTGACTTACCCTGACCACACACAGAAGCCTCAAATGGCCAAAGCGTTTGATAAGAACTTAAATTGTAAATTGTTTTTCTCAAATTATGCTCTCCCGGCATTACAGTGTGCTCTCCAACAGCAGGGGAGCCTCTCTCTCCAAGCCCATAACAGAAACCAGAAGTGGTACAAAAAGGACATTCCAAGAACCCTTACAAACGCTATTTGGTATTCTTTCTGACCATATGACTACACCAAGAAAAAGCTGGTTTCCTGTTTAACAGCCCTTTGTAGTTTACTTTCGCCCAGATCACATGGTCCTTAAAATAGAAAGAACTTCAGGCCGTGGGTTTTCTGCTTGTCTTTCCCATTATGAGAAAAAGCTAGATATCCACAATATGTCCATGGATAGAACTTCTATCAGTAATAGAAACATGTGTGCAGTTACTCCAGGGGCCTCTCTCTGCCCTGAATGGATGGTGTGGTACAGATTAACCAGACTCTGCATGTGTCTATGCTTATGTGTGTGTGTGCAGCCTCAGTGTGTATGTGTGTGTGCATAAATCCAGCTCAGTACACGTGCCTTTTTGTCTCTAGGGAACTAGGTGAAGAGCCACTTGGCTCCCTTTGAACCTAAGGCCATATGGCCCCCAGTATGGCTATACGCTACACACATAATGCTATTACAGCGTAGGATAGTGTGTGAACACCACCAGGACCAGTAGGGCATGTTTAGATGCCAAGACATCCTGAAATTTGTCAGACATCTCAGTGTGTGTCATGCCTTTCATTCCACATTCCATTCTCCAATGTGGTATTCATATTAGTCAACATGTGCAGCCCAACCTCTGTCTTTTCCATGTTTGAGTGTACATGTATTCTCATATGAACTCACCTCATTGTCATGGTGTTGACAGAAGCTCATGTGGTCCTGGAACAGAGACAGCAGGGCAAAGTTGTTTTGCAGGGACTGAGCAAGTGACACCGGCACCCCCGGCTGACCAGTGTTGCTGTTGGCATTGATGCGGCCAAGGTGGAGGTTGTCTCCGAGGCGCTCTATGAAGTGGTCCTTAGTCAGACGCACCCTTTGGTGTGCCCGCACACAGTTATCACACAGATACTCTTGGCAGTCAATACAGTGAGATGAGGCAGGATTCTCCTCATCGCAGGAGCTGCACTGAGGCTCCCCAAGGTTGTGCGAGTGAAGCAGGCCTCCATGGGGGAGATGGAAGCTTGAGGAGCCTCCACCCAAACCTCCCCGATGATGGTGACCGTTTTTGTTCAGAATCTGCTCTTCAGAGCTCACCACCACATCCAGCAGGTTGCTGAACAGAAAGTTGGATGAAGGCAGGGAGTCCACCCCAGACTCAGAGATAGAAACCTTCTGGTCACAGGTGGGGCACCTAAGCTTCAGAGGATCCCCAGGACTCCGCTGGCCCTCCAGGCACTGCCTGCAGAAGGCATGGAGGCAGGGCAGGACGTGGAGCCTCCTGGTGGTCTGGCTGGAGGAGCAAGAGGTATGTGAGGAAGATGAGGAGGTAGAGGAGCTCGAGGAAATAGGAGCAGAGGAGCCACACAGCTCCTTGCAGAGAGGGCACGTCTGCAGGTCCGAGTCTGGAAACGAAGCCATCTGCAGCCTTAGATCACAACTTGTGCAGCAATGAGATTGAGGTATTTATTTGCGGACACATTGGCCCGTTATGTATTGTAGAAAATAAAGTTGTACTGAGGTAGATTCATGAGGTAATAAAGTCAGTTTAACAGTAAAACGGTGCTCATTGACTTACAGATTATTATCTGTATTAAACAGCCTATATCGGACCTAATGGAATACAAGGAGGTAGCCAGGTCTTCAAATTGTAAAAAAAATAATCTGAGGTAACAACAAGAAAAATAGCCCTACTTAAGTCTGTAAAGATCATATCAGTCTAGTTCAATTGGGTAAGGCGTTTTGTGGGGGAAGCTCCCGCGTCATTCTTTCAAATAAGACCAACGAGATAATACAGGACGATGTTGGCGCATCTGTGGAGACAAAAAAAAGGAGTCCAAAGGTGCGATCTGTGGGTTTACAGAATAAACCCCACACTGGAGTGACACAGTGTTGGCGTCGTGATACAGGGGGCTCCGTCTCTCCTCCCCCACCGTTTCGGCAACATGACTACTTTGCTCTGCGCAACAATACTGCAGCCACTCGAGGAGTAATTACACTCACACACAAAAAAAACAAAAAACAAAGTTCTGCTCCTTTCTTTGCGCCTTGTTTTGCTGTTATGAAGTCTTCTTTAGTCCACCATCGGGGTCAGTTCAGACGGCGTCGGGGGACGCCAATGGTCGGTTGTTAGTCGCTGCGCGAGCCTCGGACAGCGAGACCGTAAATTATTCATCAAAGCGAAGATCTCATAGTGAGCCTGGTGTCACCGGGGCATCAGAAACATCCAACCAGAGTCTCTGGAAGGGACAATCTTTCAAACTGTACATTTATTTAAAAAAAAAAAAAAAGCCTTAGTCCACCTTCCAGCGCTCCTTCCCCCTGTGAGTCTCTCGGTCGGTCTCCCTCTGTGGATCTCTACGTGGAGGAATGCGCAGGATTTTTTTCCCCCGGCAGCGTGAAATACGATGCTCCTACAACCGCGAAGAACTCGGTCTAACGACCGTAGAGGTCTTTCCTCACTTTCCTCACTTCGTTGTGGTTTTTGTTGTTTACTTTCGGTCGAATTAACATGAACACAAACACAAACACAAGGTGAGCGCTCAAGAGGGCGCGTGTTGCACAAGCCTGCAGCTCCTCGAGCCGCTCTTATCCGACTGAGAAAAAATGGACCCACTTCCGCCCCAGTGAGGAGAGAGGGGTGTGCGCCGAACGCTCGCTCCCGTACAGTCTATGCGCGTTCCCGTCTTACAGTCTATGGTTCCCGTACAGTCTATGCGCGTTCCCGATAGAAATGAGTTAGCGCGCTTGTTACAGACAATAATAATAATAATAATAATAATAATAATACATTTAATTTGTAACGCACTTTACATTTTTGAAAAAAAAATCTCAAAGTGCTACAGGAAGAAAAATAAAATAGAAATAAAAACAAATTTAATCAACTAACGAAATTAAAAGCACAAATAGAAGGCTTTGTTAAAAAGGTGGGTTTTTAGGGCCCTTTTAAAAGCGTCAGCAGACTTGATATAGGATGAAACGGTAAAAAGCCAGTGTAATGTAGGCAGGCCTATGTAATACGATTTAGCCTACTTAAACTGAACTAAACTGAACGTCACTCATCAAGTGAGCTGAAGTTAAATGCTAAATGAACTAACTGGACAATGACAACATTCAATATTTCGAAGTTTGTGTCTAAGCGAAAGATGCATAGGCCTGTTTCTCTTACACACCTATCCAGGTGAGGAATGAGATCATTAGACTGACCAATTAGCACTAACAGATAAGACATTTAATTATTTGTATTTTAACTTTTTCAAATGTAGAATAAACTGTGACTGATATGTAAGCTTGCAGGGGCAAACAACCATAATCATATTAATCATTCATATTGTGAGTTTTATTCATGCAAAAAAAAAACTTTCAAAAGCCATGATAAGCCTATTAGCCGACTGACCAATGTAATTCAAATCATAACATGACAAAGAAGGGACATTTCCTCACTTTTGAGAAGCACAAACAAACCAGTGGATGTGGGGATTCTGCTTTTAAAATGACTTTGGTGTGAGTTGTTGGATTCAGAAAGCTGCTTGGTTGGTTACTCAGTAGAAGTGACTGAGACATAAAGAAGGAGACCACAATTTACAGCAATTTATCAATTGCTTCTCAAAGCAACAACGGATAAAAGGCTGAATAGTTTACAAATTTGCCAGAGGATATGTTGATATGTCAAAGCCATAGAGCCTTTTCCTCCAGGGAAATATCCCTGATGAATGAATGAAATGAAATGAATCAGTATGCTTTACTCCAGCCCTCAGCAACTGGCGAGTCCATAAGGCGCTGGCTGCATAATCACTGTGTAAAGTTATTTTCTTTTTTTTGGCATATGAAGAAGAATTAATTCTTTCATGACACAGGCAACATCTACCCTGGAGGGGGTAAGCAAGCAAAAAAAGTTATGTAAAACACAAGCAACTCTGTGTTAGGATGCTCCCTTTAATGACACACACAAAGGTGCCCGTTTCTCAATAATGTTGTTTTCCATCATCCAACTCAACTGCAATAAACTGTAATCCCCTCATTTAGCATTTATAAACGCCTTAGAATTATTTCCCTATTGGTTTGCACCAAATATACTATAGATATGCAAAGAATCATAGTAATATCTCAACTGGCCCTTTACAATTGTCTTTTTGTAACCTAGGTTGATGTTCTCAGAAATATGTATTATTGTATCCACTCCATATAAAGCAAAATCTCAAATATATACCAGTGATTGAAACCACAGACTTCAACAACTGTTGAAACATTTTGGAAAGGTACCATCCAGGTAAGCTGCAGTCATCTAAACAGAGGTCTGTTCTACTTCGCTTTCACCACCTTACTTGTTTTAATGTTGTTTATTTTTTATTTTTTTTTACAATTTCTATATATCCTGTTTTTATTGCAATTGCATCACTATTCATCTTACTTGAGTCCATTTGAACTTTTGTGATGATCTGTTGGTTTGGTAACCTCAGCATCGTTAACAAAAAAAGGATGGGAAATATAGTTCAACTTTGCCGAAAGAGTGTTGGCATTGACTTAAATGACCTTAGCTATATTTTTCAAATAAGAGCCACTCAGAAGGCAAAGGCCATCCTGGAAGACCCTCAGCACCGTCTGAATGCAGAGTTTAGTTTAAACTTATGCCGACTAGAGAGGATGTTCACTGATGTTAGGAAGGCCAAATCAAACAGGTTTGTCCCATCAGCAGTTAAATATTGTTGCTGGTACACTTACACTATGGACTGTTGGTCTTTGTGTCCATTATCTCATGATATCCATGGTAGTTCTATTTTATATGTTTGTATTTCTACTGTTTTTTTTTTAAATTGTGTATAGCTTGTATGGACCTCTGTTGCAAACCACATCCCCCCTTTGGGACAATTAAGATGTTCCAATCCAATACCTCCCCCTGGTGGATCAATAGCTATTCTACACATCAAAGGTATTTGATGTCTCTCCTCCCCACTGCCCAAAAAAACCTTGGATTGGTAATGAATGTAGGTTTTGTAAAAAAAAAAAAAAAAAAAAAAAATGGTAGAGATGCTCATGATGCGCAATTGAACACCAAACCAATTTTTATTGAAGTACAGCTCTCTACTATTGGGGGGAGAGACCGTTTTGAAAGGAGACAATTAATCCCAAAATTAGAAATGAACATTAGTTTATGGTAATAGTCTGATGATATTTATAGAAGAAACAATACAGAGTCAAACTTCTTGGAGCAGAACAACTTTTTTGGTTTATGTAAAACTACATACAAATGAAATGTAAATGGCAGCTCTAGAACAAGCAACAATGGAGGTTCTGACAGTCTAGTACAATACAGCAACGTAATACTGTCAAAGACTAAACACCATTTTAAATATCACACTCATGTTATTTACATTTATGTTATAAACCAAAAATACTAACCTGATATTAGTTATTATGCTGGGCTCTTTTCCTCAATAGAAGTGTTATTTTTTTTCAAATACTAAATCACAAAAACATTGAGTTACATTAATCAAAGACAAATCACCTTCATGAAGTCCCCAGGAAACAAGGAATAAACAAAAGCAACCCTTCAACATATTATAAAAACAAACAGGAACAAAAATAAGTTATTAGCTTGGTGTAAAGTTCTGGCGTCAGTCACTGGGATTGGTCGGAATGTCTGATTCTTAATCAAATTGAAATATGAATTTTAGTGTAACAAATATACAGCCAACAGAAATACACATGCATTGGTTTTCCTGATTTCATCCATTTTTTCCCCCCGAAGAGTCAACGTTGTCTCTGGAAATAGAAGTTTCAATGGAATGGAAGGTGAAGTACTTGAGGGACTAAAGGGGCTTGGTTCAGCGCTTCGTTCAGTGCGTCCACACCTCATGGGCCCACAAATGATTCTGACGGAGCCAAGCTCGAGCAGAGGCAATATCGAGGGTGAAAACTTGCTCCTGTGAAGAGTTCACAGCTGTGTAGAGAACATCGAGTTTGGGATGAGGGATGCAAGCTGCAGAGAGAAGGCGACTGCTAGCGGCAAGGTACTCGCTCTCACAGCTTTGAGTCCTAGAAACGGAAACGGAACCGTCACGTAACAAATTCATCACGTAACACAACCGAAAAGCTCAACCACAAACTCACCTTTTGAGAGTGATGCTGAGACAGGAGGTGGTGTTCTCTGGCAGGTGGAGGAGGTCAGTTGTATTGACAGTGATGAACATCTCAAAGGAGAGAGCCAGCTCCACCTCCCCGAGTCGGCAGGGTACGTTCAGTGACATGAAACCAGGAGGAGCCGACACACCTGGGTAGTACCCCACACTGAGAGAGTCTGATAAAGATGAATCAAATTAGCTCAATTCAAAGTTTCTTAGCCATTCATTTGTTCAATCTCTATTTAATATGGGGGCAATAGAAACTGACACTTACGTCTGAAGACTTCTCGTGCACGCAGCCAGAGGTTCTGCTTGCCTAGTTTGTGTAAAAGTTTCTGTAGCATAGTTTGATCCACTGCCAGGTTTTTAGAGCACATGAAGTCGACCGTATCTGAAGCTACGGGAAGTGTCTGTCTGTCCAAGCACACTTGCAGGTGAGAGTTAAACAGAGGAGCATACATGGAGATATCGACCAAGTCTGAGGAAAACATAACAACCATTACTTCAGTGAGACTGAGATATGAACAGTGACACATGCAGTGAAACATCCTGCCTTGTTGTTTTCTTAAATCAGTTTAACAAAGTCATTCAATAATGATCAAAAGAAAGCTTTAAGGACATATTTCTTCAAAGCGAGTCTATTTGCATGTTGTTGTTTTGAGTGGCATCCAGACAGAAAACATTTCTTATCCTGCATCTTTTTTTTTTTTTGTTTGCACCAATCTGAGCCGTGTTCTACAACATTTAATAATAATTATCAAGTTTTGTTTCCTCTTTTGTCTTCTTAAAAAATGCATTAATTAAAAGTACTTTTACAAACAGTAAAACCTCTTTGTTTTTCTGCACTTTTTGTCCAACAGCTGTATACAGGTAACCTATGTAGTCTATAAATAGTGTGGTATGACATTATGATTTTCTCTCTTTTTCTTCTACTTTCGTTTAGTTTGTTTATCCACTTGTTTGAATGGCCGAGGCACGATTGTCCGCTAGTGTATTGATCTTAGATGGCCATCAAACATGGATAAATACATTTAAAAATACTTTACATAAAGTTTGCAAAACAAGAATTTGGAACAACAGAGGAAGGAAAATAATTTCCTGTTCTCACTGTTTGACTCTTTCAGTCCTGGGAGATTACTGAGGACATCCAGCGAGTCTCTGTGAGAAGACTTTTCAGCCAGACGCATCAACACACGAGTCCTGCTCTCCAGATCAGCAGGCTCACACGGCCACGCAGATGAACTCACAAACCATTTGTTTTCTGAATAACAGAAGAAAAAATGTTGTAATTGAAAAGCTAACACAATTTGCAAAAGCACAATTTGTCAAACAGATTTCTGAAGTTTCAGCCACATACTGTACACAAAAAAACTAGAGCCCGACCGATTAATTGGCCAACCAATAATAATTGGCCGATATCGTCATATCACGTCTTTTTCAAATTCGTCTTATTTTATCTCCAATATCAGTACATTTATTCACCAGTCAAATAGCATTTCATTTGAGTAACATTGTATTACACTATCAGTTGTCTTTCTGGCTGTCACCAGCAGAGTGCGCTATATGGATTATCATCACACTAAAGTATCAAGTCGTGATGAACATCCTGTAAAGTGACAATCTTGTCTTCATTTATATATTTATATGTATATTGGTATCTTATTTTTGCCTCCCTAATATTGGTACAGAGCTGTTTACTATTCATCGATTTAATCATCACTTAATTAAGCAAGTTAAAAAGCAACCCCATTTTAAATCTGTTAAGTGGTCATTCAAATTTTTAGCCACATACATTTTATGTAAACATTTACACTTAAAAGCTTGAGATAATGTATTTTTCCATGAGGCATTACAATGAAGTTGTAAGCCTGTGTAGACGATCACTTCTGCTCATCGTGGCTACTTGTATGGGCAGCAGCTGTTTACCTCTCAGTGTGTTTAGAGCTCCCTCCACGCTTCCACTCAGCAGGTAGAGCTCAGTAGCCACAGTGACCAGGAAGCAGCGAGATGTTGCATCTTCATTCCCAAACAATCCCTTCAGGTTGGAGTAGTTTACTTTGCAATTTGACAGCACCTCCACCACCCTGCGACCCTACATGACCACACACACATGCACACTGGCAGGTCATGACAAAGACCAGATGGAAAAAAGCAGGACAGGACTGTGACACACACAAAGGTAGTTTCTTCACCTTGGCCCACTGATGTGTTTTGTGGTATCTTAACATGAGAGAGACTCCAATTCTGCCCAAAAAACTCCTGTTCAGGCCTTCCTCCTCTTCATTCTGACAAACTAAAGAAAATGAAATCAGATGTGGTCATTGTGGATTTCTATTAGGGAGATTAGTTGTTCACTTCATCCACGTTTTGGAAACAAATGCAAAAAAGAACTTTTACCAGTCTCAGCAAATGCAGCAAAGGGCAGTGACAGCTTGTCTTTGCTCTCAGACAGCAGCGCTATAGTTATACGCCCACTGATTCGCTCCACTTGGTTGGGGCGCTGGCTGGATTGGCAGATGGACCTGAAAACCTCCCCCATCCGCCTCCAGTCCTCTTGCTTGGCACAAAGCTGACAGACAGAAATCATGGAGAGAGGCCTCAATACAATGCAAGATTCACACAAAATCATGACATCCTTCGATACAGTCGACAAGAGAAATCTACTGAAAAGAAATAACCTCTATTTCCACGATAGAATGGGCCCAATTCAAGTACTCTGGAAAGGGGGCACTGGCGGATAGTCTTGAATCACAAACACAAAGACAGTCAGAAGCTTACGTTTTTTTTAACAAAATCAAAACACACAATCAAGAAAAAAAAACTCCACTCACTTGTGGGTGCCACTGCCAGACCCTGAAACATGAGAGTTTGTTTGCTGGAACTCTGGAGTGTGTTTTACACAGTCCAGGCAGTCCAAATTCAGCACCAGGCCTGCACTCGCCAACTATCAACATACAAAAGGCACAATTAATCAAATTCACATACAAAACTAAGATCCCACTAATTTTTCTTTCAACTTTTGACTTTGATGGGAAAAGCATTCTCTTCACATTCACAATTTCACATGATAGCAGAATAATTGCAAGACTCCTCTCTCAAACATTGGAGCATTTTATTAGCAGAAAGAGGTGGGTACGATGCTTGCAGTTTTTATTAACACTCTAGCCCTTCCAAAGATTTTTTCATATTCGAGTACCAAAGATCCCACTTCTTGTAAAGAAAAGTGTGTATACCTTAAGTGTGAGTTGCATGAGTTCAGGCAAAAGACCAATGAGACTCTTTTCTCTCACGTAGTTGAAGAGGGCCAACAGGAACTCATGTCCAGGCTGAAAGAAAGAAACAGCAACCAAATTCGACATGACTTTTGAAGAGCAAAGTGGTTATTGATCATTTGAAAATAACACTGACGTGCTTATCACACCATACTTAATACATCACAACCTGCACTCTACTGGAATGAGTACTGCAGCATGACATTCATAATAAAAAAGATGGCACACTGACCACTATCTTGTGGGCCAAGCTGATGCTGAGGACTGAGAAGATGTCAGACACCATGCCAGCTTTGAGCAGAGCCCAGAGGAGTGATAACAGCACTGGCTTAGAAAAATACACTCCTGGTGGGTTGTTCTGGTAGTAGCCTGTGAACACAGCTCCTGCATACAAAAGATACAGACGATCCCCAATGAACACTACATAAACTGTGTCCATTTGGGTTTATTATGTAGGATAAAATTGAAAATGTACCTGCTCTTTGAAGGCAAATTGGATTTTTGGTGAACCGTATCACAGTTTCAATGCAAAACTGAAAGTGAGAGAAAAATGTGTAGTGACTCCACAATTCTGAAATAGTGTATTTACAACTAAGGCACAGGAGAGGGTGATGTTGCCTCTTGTCTTCAACACCCATCAGAAGCTTAAGACTTTTCCGTCAACTGCTTTCCACACTGATTCTGTAGTTCAATATCTACTTAGTTTGAATTATAAAGGAAAAGTGTGCATGGCATATCTCTCCATTACTCCAGTATATTTGTGGTTAGGTGTGTTGCTGGTACCTTTTCATCCCCATCCACAGGTACATGCAGGAACCAACACATCTTGAACCTACAGCACAGCGACTCACTGAAGTATTGCCTGCAGTACTGAGGGTGTAGAGGAAATGGAAAGCCCAATTAAAAACACATCAGGAGACTTTGTGCCATGTTTTCCTCAATCTGAGTTCTTTCTAACATTTCCCCAGGTTCTTATATTCTGCCTCTCAACAAACATACAAACTGACTAACATATCTCGATGAAAAGACATTGAGCATATAAAGAAGGCTTGTAACAGTTTCAAAACTAATTTCTGGATTTTCAAAGAAATTTAAAAAACACTCCAGATATTAATTCTTCTTCTGAAGTAACTTGTTAATATAGTCACATGAAGAACACAAATACCAACTACCATTTCAAGCGCATTATTGCAGAATTATTATTTGATAATTTTCCCATAATAATTTCCATTACCCCCCATTTTCCTTCAGAGCTTTCTTAAAGTTAGAGATATTCCATTCATTTCCTTTTGCACTTGTTGAGCTCACACTTCAAAATAAACACCAATGTAGGAAATACCACACGGAACACAAGTTTGATGAAGCAATGATTGAATTTGAAATAAATAGAAAAATATTTTTAGCGTATGTTAAGGTCAATTGACATGTTGTAGGGAGACAGGTTGTTTTTTTTTTTTGTTTTTTTAAAAGGAGTACATACAGAATTAGACTGCTGGCGCCTTAACTCTACCACGTTTGCTGGGTTTGTGTTCCTTGGCCCTGTGTAGAGAGAAAATATAAACAGCCATACACAACAGTTGAAGGTTTTACTCTTAACAGGAGAATCTATGCTGCACATTTACTTTGGCATTGAATTCCCAAAATTTGGAATTGAAACCGCTCAAATTTCAGCCTATTCCTATGCCGTTTTTTTATTTTCTAATCACCATTTTTTATGGTCTTCAGAGTAGGGATGTGATTATGCTGTGAGGTCACGGTCTTGAGGGGGGGTGTGATCCTGCAAAAAGACATAAATACATTGACTATGAAAACATAAACAGACTGACTCAGCTTAAAAAATGTCAAGATGGGACTTAAAGCTACCTTTCCAGGCCTCCGTTTACATGATTGTTGTTGGCATCATACTGATCCTGTCCAACACAAGAAACAGATTTAAGGTTGGAAAGATGACTTTGATCCAGGTTATGTCCCAGCATAATCAGGACCCTTACTTCATTTGTGACATTCAATCTGTATGAGGAAGAGAGATGTTACTATAGTACAGTGTATGTTTGTTTTGTTTTGTTTTTTTAAATTGGATTTAGCCGAGACTAACTTCCTTGAAACCTTAAAATGTACCCCACAAATCTTGGTTATTTGTTTGCCAGGACTTTTATTTATGCAGTATGCTTCCCCCCTTTTTTCTCCCTGGAGTTTATGAGCAAGTGATGAAACTCAAGAGTGACCCTGACAATGTTGGGTTTATCCTGCATTGCAAGTTGTTATGCGGTTATAATGTCTGATGTCTTGTAGGAAAATGCTGCAAACGTGGTCCTGCTCCACTACATGACACCACCTGAAACACACTTAGTTACCCAGGTTTTGGTATGCTTTTCTTGGTCAGTCCATGAGCTGCTTTGCTTTGTGGTGGGGTTGCCGTTACTCTGAGGTCTCCATGACCTGCTGCTGCTCTCATCTTTAAAAGATAGACACAAAACAAAGATTAAAGAAATTACAGGTTTCTGACATTTAGCATCAGCGTGTGTCTGTAACTAGCATGCCACATAGTGTAATACATCGAAAAATAAAAAAAGGATTCTAACAGGCCATACCCATGTTATCAGGACTGTCACATTGAAAATCAATATTAACTGGAGTCAATCTGAAACACAAACATAATTGTATTTGTATTGGACTGCATCATTTTTATGTGACTGTTGATATGCTATAAGATATGATACTTCACCTTTTTCCTGAATTAATTGGCGCGCCGTCTTTCTTAGCGAACAGTGTTTTAACCACTTCAATAGGTCTGCTTTTGGAGGCTTTAATATCCCTGATGGGCCCCAGTTTCAGTATACTTCTCTGGGGCAAGTTTTCAAAGAGCTCTGGGTCGTCCTGGATCACATCAACAAGCAGAATGTCCTGTTCATAAGCTGTGAACTCCGTTAAAATGTCCTCAGAGGACATTTGATCCGTTTCACCACCTGCTGAGTTGCACGGACTTGACGCTTCTTCTCTGAATGAACATGGCCGCTCCTCATCACTGTAGGCTCCACCATCATCCTGATCGCTTGCCAGAGAATCCAGGCAACGCGTTGCCGTTATTTTAGTGTCTGAGTGAACTTTGTTAACCTGCTCGAAATCCTCCTCATAATCAGTTTCATTTTGGCTTTCTTCTTCTTCTTCTTCATCGCCATCATTGTCTGAATCTTCATCATTGCAGGGCGAAGACTGCAGTTCACTCCTTACTGTATTCAGAGTTTTGAATACCCTTGAGACACCTTCAATACCTTTACTAACATGTTCAAGACCATCCTCTAAGTTTTCAGTTTTGTCATTGACAATGTGTGGACTGTTAAATTCAATTAACATTTTGTGTTTAATTGGTTCTTTGCTTATTTCCTCCTCCTCCTCCTCCTGGGAAAGTGGCTCTTCATCTGAAGAGTCTGAGCTTAAGCCTGGGAGAATACTTCTTGGCGAATGCCGTTTTGGTGACGTGACAGGAGAGAGCACTGGTGGGAGCATGAACTTTTTTATCGAGTCATTTTCTACACAGTTTTCTGTAGAGACGTTGTGCAAAGACCTCTCTTTCACGGGCGCGAGAGGATTATAGGGGCTTGTGTTATAAAAGGGCTCAAGTTTTGGTGGGAACCTGTCGGTAAGAAGTTCTCCATCACTATCTCGTTCCTCTTGAGGGAGGAGGGTGAGCGATAATTCAGGTGAAGGGAAGGATTCAGAAGTGTGACATGAAATCATTGGGGTGCGTTCACAGGTGGGGAGTGGCTTTGCAACAGATTTGATCGCACATGTGGGTGAAGGTGGCCCTGGTGATGTGCCGGCGGAATGAGCCTCAGCGAACTCAATTCTTGTGACTGTGTTCGGCAAGAACAATGAAGGCGGCAGGTTTGAGAGTCTGCTCAAACCACTAAGCGTGAACGGAGATGACATAGTGGTGGCAGTATCCCAGTTTATCAGGCCAAGTGATGTGGGGGAAGGGGTGGACATGGAGCTGTCAGTTTTAGGTCCACTGACCACTGAAGATGAGGGTGAGACTGCCCCATGCTGACTTGGAATGGATAATGAAGCTGTATCTGAAGAAAGGCTGGCCTTTGATTCTTCAGCGTCCATTAAATGAGGCGCGAACTCCATGTCTCTTCTTTCTGAGGAGTATGAAGACATATCGCCTTGTGCTACCCCATTTCTCTCTGCTAAAAAGCATTTTCCATCATGCTCTTTCTTATTTTCATTGTGATGAGAAATGAGATGGGTCAGGCCATCAGTAGAAAGGTCTGCGGGCAGATGTGGAATCACATCATTGGTTCTCTTGCTTGATAAATCCGACTGATTTTGATTCACTGAAGAGAAACAGTTATCTTTAGTGAACGGATCGAAATACTCTGCATGGTGGGCTGTGGTCTCAGCATGGGAAGTCAGAGTCCAGCTGCTCTTGGAGAAGGGCCAGGGCATGTACGTGCGTGTACATGAAGAGTGGATTTTTCTTGAATAGACCCTCACTCTTTGGCAAGTGAATGACTCTGGTTCACCGGTGTCCAACTCGGCGCTCGGAGAGAACGGATCAGTGGGACTCTCGGTTTCAGAGAACTGTTTCTCGTGGATACTGTTTACTGTCACATCTGGGCCAAAGGTGCAGCTGCTCGCAACACCTCTAACACGCTCTGAACCGGACTGGCTGTCATGAGACTCACAGGAGTGTGTTTTCTCTTGGATTTTAGAGTCACTTGTTATTGGGTTTTTGCAAATGATGCTTTCTAAATCTGGAGTGGATGGCAAACTCCCCTCCTCCCCACTGTCCCCGAGCTTTATTCTCTTGTCTCCGCAAAGCTCAGGTCCTCTGTGGGGATATTCTGGCCCAGGAACCCGCTCAATAGGTCTGTCCCTCATGCCGGCATCACATTTTTGGGCAATGTCATAAAGTGCAACCTTTGGATACGGGTCTATCCATATAATAATCTTCTGAGAAGCGTCAGGGTCTGGGTTTTTCGCTCCAAGCTTAAACTCAACTGTTGGCTGCTCTGGCCCTGGGCTACTTTTGTTTTGCTTTGGCTTACCCAGTGTCTTCCGCTGTGAGGAAGTATATTTACAGTCACCACAGAGACCACAACCAGAGGCTCTGACAGATCTTCTCAGAGCACCCTCTGAGTCCGTAGGTCCAGCTGGGCTTAGCTGCGTATTTCTAAAAGGGTCTGCAAATAGAAACAAAAACCTGTTCAATTGCGCACACATTTATGCGCACGGTGTCACCTGAAATGATTAAGTAGTTAAAGAATCCGTGATAGCATCATAGTAAATAGCATGGATTCCCACTCAAGTCGGCCCAAATTTGAAACCGTCTTATCCGATACACGGGGCAGCGACGCAGCGTAGATAAGATATTAAAGTCAGTACTTTCAAAAAAGGAGGAAAACATGTTACCACGACACAAATTTGCTAAATCAACCAGTAAACTCCTCAGCATTTACCTATGCTGGAAAAAAAAAAAAACACTTCAGGTAATAACCCATTTGCTTGGACTGTAAAAAAAATAAAATAGGTGTGAGTGTCTTTTTAATTCTAGCCTTGCTGAAACAGGTTTGTAAGAGCACATCCCTGAATGAGCCACAAGATAAATGAAGGTGAGGTGTAATCTTTATTGTAAGTGTTTTCATTCATAATAATTTGTAATAAAAAAAGAAAGAAAATGCCTTCATGTCATGCCAACAAATGTGTCTTCTACTATTTTAACTATTTATCCCTTAAAATAGGATTGAAGAAGAACCATATAGAGCTTGAGTACACTACACTCATGGAAATATAGACCCCTCCCCCCCCCCCAGTCAGCACCTTGTTTCATTCAGTGCAACAAAACATTATGGTGTACAAAAGTCCTATCAAAGTGGTTGGTACTAAATAATAATCGTATGACACCCCCAATCCCAAACAAGTTACTGTCAGAAAACATCCCACAGTCTGATGAAGTTAGCAGCAAGCCGCGCTGCTAGCTTAGCCGTGCCACGTTCTGATAAAAGCAGAAGAAAAAAAAAAGTTACAAGTGAAAGTGAAAGATGGATTTCACTTCAGTAACAGACGCACTTTCGATACACGATAACCAACCAAGCTTAGCTGAACAACACTGCGAAAATTGCACCTTACTTGACAGTTCAGTGGGTCTCCGCAGTGCTCGTGTGTGTCCTGCAGCAGGCTGACGGTCAAACCCGGAAGAAGACCGGGCCTTCACTCCGCTCTGAACCTCTCCATGCGCGTCCTCCTCTCCGTCACCAACATGTGCCACTTGCGCTTTGCGTTTACTCGCCCGCCTGGGTTTACGTCTGCCAGACGGTTTCCCAAAACTTGACCCCGGGTCTGGTGATCGAGGGGTCTCGGGAGCCTTATTTTTGGCGAAGGTGGCGCAATTCAACTCGGTTTCATTTGCCATTTTGGAGATTTTGCTCCTCGGCTTAAGGGCGCAGCGGCGCTCGACCTCTGGGCGTTTCGTCAGCGCATCGTCTGCTGCAGTGCAGAAGCACCAAGTGAACCTCAACCTGAGGTCGCACAGATCCCTGAGGCTGTTCAACTTGCCCTTGCTCCGTGTGTTTGGTCTACTGTGTTGATACTTGCCTCTGGTGCGCCGTCCCTCTTTTGCACACACCATACTATCTGTTCCTGCACCTGGCTTTAAATTGTATCTACTTTTCGCACCTAAGTAATACTCATCCGGCTCTGCCCTGTCTGTTAAAATTGCTGGGAGGGTTTCAATGCTGCTGTGGACTGAGGTGGTGTCTTTCTCTGGCACTGTTTCAGCGTTACCCCGTGACCTTTTGACCCGCCTCCGCCGCGGAAACAGTTTCAGTCCAATAACATCTTTTAAAGCGACCCGGTCGAGTTTGAACCTGCTTGAAGACGGAAACATGCTGCCTCATAAAATAATGACCTTCATGAATGACTGAGTCGACTGACACGAGTAGGCTGTCGTGTTTACGTTATGAATTTGAACCTGTGTGGAGGCCCGAGCGCTCATCTTCAACTGCGTGACAAAATGATCTTCTACAGGTTAACAAGGCGCATGCGCAATACACAATTACTCCCAATATAGGCTAAAGCAAAAAATGTTTCCATCCAGATTGGGATATGAAATCACTATGTCTTTCTGACAGCCACTATCCCAGAAATCCATTTCAATGGTCTTAAATTTGTAATCACAACTATTTTTTATTTTAATTTTTTTGTCCAAAATGTTCTTCACACTTCTCATGAAATTGTACTTCATGGAAATAAGGGACTCAGCTTCCCTGAATTGAATAATGCAATCACATTTTGTCTCATATTTCCTAAGACAACAGAAGTGCTGTAACTTGAGAGTGTTGACCCCACTCATCATGGCCCAGTTGGACGCATCCCTCCCCTTTCACCTTCAATGCCTGTAAAAAAAAAAAAAAGAAGACCAACAAATGTCCCAACATGACATTTTAGTGTTGTTGTTTTTTAACATTGAACTAAATATAGGCCAATGTGTATTTATTTTTTGAAATGTTAATAGATTACACCAAACTGTTGCCCACTAAGAATATAACCGCAGCCAGAATTGTGTTGCTTCTTCAATTTATTTAATTATTCATGATAAGAAAATCAAGAAATGTTTAATTAAATGCACTCATTTTAAAGAAAATACAATGAAAAACGACATTTTCAGAACAGTCATACTTTAATAAATAACTTTGCACGTGACGTCTTAATACTTCCTGAATCTTTAAACAGATAAACCCATAAACATGTAGGCTATTCTATAATAATAATATTTTTTATTTGATGTACTTCTTTGGGAATATTTTTGTTTGTAGTTAAATATAAAGTCTTTATCTTTGCTGTTTGTCTTAGATGGAGACACAGATTTGGCAAAAGAAAAACGTATGAATAGGCTGTTTTATTTAATCAGCACTGGATCAGACATGACAGCTTCAGGTAAAGCCTGTTTGGATGTGTGGGGTGAGGGTGAGACCCTGGTGTTGGGAAGTAGCCGGTCCCTGGACTGTGGCGGCCTGATTCACAACACCAGCTGTCCCGCCCCACCAGGACAGCAGATGGCGCTCTGATGGTGGAAGTAGTTTCCCCATCTGAAGGCAGATAAGTGGTTCGATCTCATTATATCCTGCAGGCGGTCGGAGTCAGCTCTCCCTGATCCTCTTCCTCAATCTTCACTACATCTGTGACAGCTGGAGAAGAGAAGAGAACAGCTAATTAAATTCAGATGAAACTGTTTGATAGAGGAGAGAACCATGAGGGAACTTTTTTTCTGGGTTTCTCTTGTTGAGCTCTCTTCATAATCCAGATATGAGGGATTCTGGGAATCTCTGCCCCACCTGACAGGCTTTCGACCACCCACTACCCCCCTGCTTCAGCTCTCCACAGCTCCAACAACATCCTCTATGCTAATTTTATAATCACAGCGCAGGATGAGGGATGTGTGTGCGTACGGTGAAGAGGGATATAAGCTTTTACTTAGCATATGAAATGAGTTGGGATTAGAATGAGATAAAGAGCAGAGTGAAGAGCACAGGGAGAGTTACCAGAGAGGTCACTCATAATTTTGCTTCTATGAAGCACTTTAAATCTTCCTGACTGCTCTCACAGGCGATGGAATCGAACACTGACACTCAACTGTGTGATAAAAGAGCACCTGAGGTTCCAACAAAAACTGTGCACTTCGAATTAAAATGTTGTAAGATATCAGCATGATCAAAGGACAGAAAAATCAGCGGCCATTTATATCATACAGTAGGAGATGAACTATCACCTATTAGCCGGTGTAAGCCTGAACCATTGAGTATGATCTGTACGAGTATGTGAATATTAGACTTCTGGCATTTCGCTGATGTCCATTTCTGAAACACATCATTTAAAGGTCTTGTTGTGAGTGGGACCAAAGGGTAGAAATCTTTACATTATTTTTTAATCAATTTATAAAATGTTTAGAGAATAAAATGTCCTGAGACAATGAATAGCTTCTAACTACGAAGTTGTAAAGCACATGTAGAACTCGGTTTTTGCAGATTTTTCCTTTAAAAAAACGATAATTTTCAAAATGGTTGTTGATAAATCTTTAGTGTAGAGACTTAAAGATCTATGTAATAAGAAAAAGCTCTAAATGAAATGTTAATGTTGAGTAATTGCCTCCCTGACTAATGAGCCAGCCTCACGACCATGTTTTATGACTGTCAGATTAACTGCTGAAACTAAAAGCCTCCTTTTCTAATTATACAGCAAACCTAGAAACCATATTCTTTTTCAAACACTCCTGGTAAATGTTTGATCTTTAAGTTAATTTGCTGACTGGGAAAAGCCAACCTCTTTAATCTGTACTCTATGCTCGAAACAACTCTTTAGTTTTTTGGCTATTTAACGAGTAGCAGAGAAATAAGTAAAAAAAAAAAAAAAAAGGCTTAGATGTCTCCTAAAGCTGCAGAATAGAAAGGAAGCACTGCCTATTATTAGTTCAGTGTCGACTGAGACACACAGGAGGTTAACTTAAAATACTGTAATACTCTTAGTAGTAGATGGGAAAATAAGTGTCATTTTCTTTCAGGTGTTAATCTTCCTAAACCAACAACTATGACAGACAAATGGGTGTTGAAATGATGCGTAAAGTAAACCATGCTTTCCTTTGTTTGCTCTCCCTCTCTGTGTTTGGCATGCGTGGCACTGTAGGTGAACAGCAGTTGTTGTTCCTCTCACACTTGTCCCCTCTTGTGTAACTGTCCGCTGAGAAATACCTCTTTAAAGAAAACATTCCTACATTTGGACTTTACGTCATATTGGCCCTCTTGGCAAATAATTCAAAGATATGAGCATTATCATGAAAATAAGAAAAAGAATCAACCATTTTGAAAGCAAGCGTTCTTTGGCTCTGTTGAACACCTCCTCCACCGATGTGCATCAATGAAAAGTGATGCTCAGGTCTGTTTTATTTGAATGGATTCAAAATGTGTGCAGCATGCTCTCACGGAAATGATAAAGCTGTGCATTCACATGTTTAGCTGTTTTGTTAAGTGGAAAGGCTGCAATTAAAAGTGATTTATTTAATTGGTGCTACCGGGAGGGACAGCTGCTTAATAAAACACCAAGTAGTGGTGGAAAAAAAAAAAGAGGATGAACTCATGGGGAGCAAATTTAAAATAAGGCTTCAAGGAGAATGAAACAAATGCTT